TGGCCTTCCTATTTCAGTGTGGTTACTACTGAAACCACACTGAACTTATTGTACTTTGAACTAGACCCAAGAGCTTTTCCTGATGAAAAGTCAATAATAAAATGTGTTCCCTGAAGGGAAGGGTTGCGGTTGTGTCTTATGCTTACTGAACACCCCAAAGACCAAATTTTGGCAGAGTCGGCTTTATAGTAGTATTGGTCTGTAAAATTCCTGGATTTAAGTAAGTTAAATAGATACATTGCATGCACATCCACAATATATTTTATTGTACTTGGTACTGAGAAGAGAAAAAGGAAAAAGATTTAGTCCCTGCCCTCAATGAGCTCAACATCTATCTATGAGCCATGGATAAATTAAACATGGAGCTCCCAAGAGATGAATGCAAGGATAGCATTGTGTGTGTGCAGGGTACAGAGAAAGCAAAAAGTCAATAGTGACTGACTTGCAGAATGAGGGATGGTGATGCTTGGTCCTGATCTTGAAGAATGCATGGGAGTGAAGATAGCACAGAAAGGGAAATGCTTACCTTATCAATTAATTTATACCCCACCCATTCCATAGGGGCTAAGAAACAGAGATGGGTGGGGGGAGTACTCCCATAATTAGAAAAGGCATGTTCCAAGGCACAGGCAGAGGAAACACCATGGTCTGTTTGTAGGTCACCCATTGCTTTTGAAGAGAAAGGGGAAGAGACAGAAGGTAAAAACTGAAGAACTAAATCAGGGCTTATATGTATGCCAGGAGATTATAAGCATCAGAGAACCACAGAGAAGTGGCAGGCAGAGGAATGACACAGACAGGTTTGCTTTTTAGAACACCACTACCCTGTAGAGGGTATTTAAAGCAATGATTCTCCTCTGGCTTTACAGAGCCCAGATGTCTGGAGCCTAATGTATGTCAATTAAATCCAGTTCTAGTGGTGGTGAGCCTGGGCTCCAGTACTTTTAAAAGGCTCGCCAAATATTTATATTTTGCCCACAATCTCCAAATATTTCCATTGTGCCCACAATCAAAGAAATCACTGAATTAGAGTGAGAAGTGTCTGGAGTCAGTTGAGACCAGATAGGAGACTAATGCAATAGTCCTGGTGATAAGGATGAAAATCTGAACTGAGTTCAAAGAAATCTGAATGTTATTTTTATGATTATATATGTGATGAGCCACCTAGCTAGCTATCATCAAGTTACTCTCTATCTGTATCTCAGAGATACAAACTAGATTGTAAATGTGATGAGAGAAGTATAAGACAATGTTTTGTTACTTTCAGCAAAAATTGAGGAGTGAGCATAATGCAAACATACCACTTTAGTATTGTTCCAAGATAGCATATACCTAAACAGTAAGCCGTGTACCACCAACTATCATTGCAATGAGTGTTCAGAGAAGGTGAATAATTACTATAAACTGGCATCATATTGGGAGATGCTTAACTGAGGAGGTAGGGGTTGAACTTGATCTTAATCATTTACATTCATTAAATCAAGAAACAAATATTTTTGAGTACTTTTTATGTTATCTGGTTTTATTTTCAAAAGACAATAGATTAGGTGGGTATGGTTTTATACAGCTGAAAAATGTGGGTCAGAGAGACTTAATGTGACCAAGGACATACAGCGTGATGTGCAAAATGACTGGTACATAGTAAGCACTCAATTAAGTGGAAGAGTTTCGAGCATGAGTGACCTCCTGACTCCCGCATTCGATGCTACTTTTTGTTGGGAAGAATTGGAGTAGAGGAAGAAGGCTGGGAAGATGAGAGAGGCCTCTAGGCGGGAGCACCATATGGTCATATGTGTTGACCAGGAATAATGAGGAAGTAATTGAGGTCTGATTGTAGTTGACTTGGAATCTAGATAGCATAATTTGGGATCATTTCCACAGTTTTCAAAGGAGGAATAATTATTCATTAACTAAATGTCTTGACTGAGCCTACAATTGTTAGAACAAAGACAAAAAAAATAAATCTTATAATGAACTAGGTCTTATAAGTATTGTTGGAATTCCTTAACATCTTCTGCTTTTGTACCACGGCTGTGAAGCCAAGTTTTATACCAATATAGTGCATGCAGTCAGTAAGGGAAGATAGGTCAGTGCATGCAGTCAGTAAGGGAAGATAGGTCATTTGTTTCCATTATTTTTAAGTCACAATAGTTTTAAATTCTAGCAAACTTTGAGTAATCATATTGTATCATTCTCAGAATTTCAGCTAAAAATGCTGAAGAGGATCCATGTAATATTTTATCTTTGAAAATGAGTTGCAGTATCTAGAGGGCAAATTAGTGGAAAGTATATAAAACCATAGCATATTCTAGTATGCTGAAAGAAGACTTTAGACCTTGAGTTGGCACAGTATAGTGGAAAGAACTCCAGTGCACCTTTCAGAAGGCCCAGGACCCAGTCTTTGCTCTAACAGATACTAGCTGTGTGACCACTTAGCCATCTCTGTAACTTAGTTTCTTCTTTTGTAAACTGAAAATAACTATTCCTATCCTGCAATTATATGACATGACTTGTGAAAAAGAACTCTGAAAAACTTTGAAACTATGTCTATAGTATATTATATATATATATATATGTATATATATATATATATATATATTAGCAGTAAAATTGATATTATGCCTTTGAGCACTTTAGGGAGAAATGGCACTTAAGTTATTTTTTCTGTAATTTAGTTCCATAATTCTTAAACAAATGCCTACAATTTTACACATATTTAACATGAATTTTAGGATGAAGAGTAAGTTAATTTATCCTGTTCCTATTCTCACCTGCCTTAGGAGTCAAGCCTACCATTCAGTAGCCTACCAACAGTTATATATATATACTGCTGTGTTCCTCCTTTATCACCTTCATGAGGACAGTGTCTTATAAGTCGTTGCCAACATTTATAGTACCAGTGTGCAAAGAACCCTGGTGCATGGCAGACTTTTGGTGAAAATGTGTTGAACTCAACATTGTCACCTGAAAGATATTTGAAGGACTTGGCAGTAGATTAATCAGTGGAGAAGACAAATGACATGATAGACAAATGGCTAATGTTTTCAAATACCTTAAAACTTGTCATAAGAAAAATCAAGTAGACTTTGCTTGAGTGACCTCAGAACTAGTACCTAAGTAGAAGTTACTAGATAATATATTTTATTTCAATGTAAGGAAGACATTTCTTTTTTTTTTTAACATCTTTATTGGAGTATAATTGCTTTACAATGGTGTGTTAGTTTCTGCTGTATAACAAAGTGAATCAGCTATACATATACATCTATCCCCATATCTCCTCTCTCTTGCATCTCCCTCCCGCCCTCCCTATCCCACCCCTCTAGGTGGTCACAAAGCGCTGAGCTGATCTCCCTGTGCTCTGTGGCTGCTTCCCACTAGCTATCTATTTTACATTTGGGAGTGTATATATGTCCATGCCCCTCTCTCACTTCGTCTCAGCTTCCCCTTCCCCCTCCCCACGTCCTCACGTCCATTCTCTATGTCTGCGTCTTTATTCCTGTCCTGCCCCTAGGTTCAGAACCTTTTTTTTTCTTTTTTTTTTTTTTTAGATTCCATACATATGTGTTAGCATATGGTATTTGTTTTTCTCTTTCTCACTTCACTCTGTATGACAGACTCTAGGTCCATCCGCCTCACCACAAATAACTCAATTTCATTTCTTTTTATGGCTGAGTAATATTCCATTGTATATATGTGCCACATCTTCTTTATCCATTCATCTGTCGATGGACACTTAGGTTGCTTCCATGTCCTGGCTATTATAAATAGAGCTGCAATGAACATTGCGGTATATAACTCTTTGAATTATGTAAATTGATACAGCCACTATGGAGAACGGTATGGAGGTTCCTTAAAAAACTAAAAACAGAACTACCATACAACCCAGCAATCCCACTACTGGGCATATACCCTGAGAAAACCATAATTCAAAAGGAAGACATTTCTAAAAGAGTTATTCAAAGATAGAATAGGCTGCCTTGTGCAGTAATAGATTGTCTGCAGGGAAAGGACTCAAACCAGGGCTGGACAGCTATGTGTTTGAGATATTAAGGTCGTTCCTTAAAAACTAAAAACAGAACTACCATACAACCCAGCAATCCCACTACTGGGCATATACCCTGAGAAAACCATAATTCAAAAGGAAGACATTTCTAAAAGAGTTATTCAAAGATAGAATAGGCTGCCTTGTGCAGTAATAGATTGTCTGCAGGGAAAGGACTCAAACCAGGGCTGGACAGCTATGTGTTTGAGATATTAAGGTCACCAGAGCCCTGAATGTCAGGGAGGGCTACTGGATTTATGTTTTCCTTCCATACTTGGCTGTCAATGAAAAACAGCAAAATATATGGTGTCTTTCATCAGCATTCATGCCATATCCTAACTGTAGCTCTGAGACGTTTTCTTGTGTGAGCAAAAATGTTGCTAGCCATTAGGGTGGTGAGTTTTTGATTCGGCAAGGCATCCTCCAAGAATTATTTCCTTTTCTTTCAACCTTGTCCCACGATCTGGGGGCAGCCTAATTGGCTCAGGGTTGCCCTAATTGCTCACTCATTTTGCCCTAATTGCCCACTCCTTCCTACTCAGTGGCTAATCTATTCACACTTTTTCTATAAGACCCAGATCTCCATGGGTGTATCCATACTGTGAACGAATTAGCAGTATTTATGGCCTCTGGATGGTATAGTTCTTGAGAATATCCTAAAAGCAGTTCAGAGTTGCTCCTGGATAATTTAGTAATTAGAGTCTGACAGCTGTGGGTTTGAGTCCCAGACTGGCCACTTATTAGCTATCTGACAGTGAACATGTTATTTAACTTATATGAGCCTCAGCTGCATTAGCTGCCTTGCAGAGTAGATGAGATAATGCATGTGAACAGCTTGGCACAGTACTTGGCACAAGGCAAACGCTCAAAAGTGTTAACTAATGCTATTATAAGTGATGATTATTTTCTAATGATCATCTTGACTGGAGTCTAAAGCTCCATGCTTTCTTCATTGCAGACATTGATGAATGTGCCTTAAGAACTCATACCTGTTGGAATGATTCTGCCTGCATCAACCTGGCAGGGGGCTTCGACTGCCTCTGTCCCTCTGGGCCCTCCTGCTCTGGTGACTGCCCCCACGAAGGAGGACTGAAGCACAATGGGCAGGTGTGGACTCTGAAAGAAGACAGGTGTACTGTCTGTTCCTGCAAGGTGAGGCTAATGTGGTGCAGCGGAGGTTGTCACTGTTCTTTGTCTCCCTCCCCCTCTGCTCTCCCTCCCCATGTCTTTCCCCCAGGTGGTTGAGTCATGGGTCTCCCGTGATTCCTGAAAAGTCTTCTCCTGTTCTAATCCCAGCTACAGCTAATGATGCTGCTGAGTGGCAGGGGGACCTGCTTGGAATGAAAAGTGAGGTATAGGGTTGCAAAGAGACTGCTGAACCCCTGGGGTGGGGGGAGCAGGGCAGAGAAGCTGATGTTAGTCCTCCCGCTGAGAGCTGGCAGTGCCTTTAAGGTCAGCTGGGTGAGAGCTTTAACGAGCCCTCAACCCTCACTTCTACAGTCCTGCTGATTAAAACTTCTCTTTCTCTGAAATGATCATCTGCACGAACTTGCTCACTCTTCTGGTGACGTCATCCAGAAAAGCAAGGCTCAGACACTTGCTTGCAGTGGTCAGAGACAGGTGGGCTTCTGATACATTCTGATCCATTCTGAATGATAGTACGAGGCCGTCTGGCCAAATGATGTCTTCTTTGTCGTTCTCAGTGCTGGGCTATTCCTTACGTTAAGTTGTTTGGAAGTGAGTTTAATGCTTCTGAAAACAAAATTCTGTCATCGACTAGTTTTGCTTTATGCTTTGCAAAATGGGCCTATTAAAGTGTTTATTTCCTTGTGCTTTATTTCTTCTTTTGTTGATCTTGCCTATTCATTTTCCTTTATATTGCTTTCCTCTAGCTCTTACATTGTATTTTTATGTCCCATTGGGATGGGATTGTTTAATATTTGGCTTACGGGCATGGGAACTCTGAGAAATTACTCGCTTAGTAGCCTTGTAGAGAGCTGGTCTCCTGATAAACTCAAGAGTGTTCCCTGGAAACACAGTAGAAATGAACCTTGAAAAGTCCCCCAATTCATTCACCTGCCTTCAAGTCTGTCACACCTGCAACAGACCTGGGGGCACCTATTTAGGAAAGCTGTTTTACCAGGTGTTTAGATCATTAGCCCATAACACCCATTTTCCCGCTTATACATAAATATAGTTCCCCACATTTAAACTTAGGTCCATTGCCCCCAGTTGTTAAGTACCTCCTATATGCCAAGCATCCTGTAATTTAACAACAGCGTCCCACTTAATATAGCACAACTCTGAAAGATGAAGAAACTGAGTTTCTAAGTTTTAGGGGAAGTAATGTACGCTTAATATCACAAGATATAAATGTGTAAGCTGGGATTTGAATTCTACTTGCTTGCCTCAAATTTTATAGTTTTCTCATCTTCCTACATGTCCTGTAACCCTCTACAGATGACATCTGTTGACATTTATAAAAACCAATTAAGTAATCAGTCACTCCAACTTGGCTGAGCTCAATACTCAACTCAGTACTATGTTAATGACTGGGTAGGACATCCCCTCAAGAAGTTTTCAAGTTATTAAGTACAATATTTAAGCATGTGGCACTGACTCAGAGCTAAAGTTTTGGGGTTTTTTGGCCATGCCGCGCAGCTTGTGGGATTAGTTCCTTGACCAGGAATGGTACCTGGGCCCTCCGCAGTGAGAGCATAGAGTCCTAACCACTGGACTGCCAGGGAATTCCCAGAGCAAAAGTTTTTGAGAGACGGAAAAGCTTGTTGTGGGTTAGAATAGTTGAGAAAGGCTTATGGAAGAGGTTGGCAATTAGGTCTCCATTCAGCCAGCAAAATGAAGATGAATCCCTTTACTAGTTCTTTTCTAGAAAATATTGTTTTTCTAAACCTTTGAGGAGGCTCACAGCCTGACCCCAAATCCTTTTTAGGCTTTCTAGATCCCCAGTGCCTGGAACAGGCAAGGGACTTTAGTTGAGTCTTGACCAGTATGAAACCGAAATTTATTTTTCAGTTGTTGTTTTATTTAAGCCCATGATAAAGCAGGGCACTTACCAATCATTAAAATTTTTCCAAAGCTTCATTAATTGGTGGCTAATAATCCAAGCAGGCTAAGTTGACTTATTCTGCTTTGACACCTAAAGTGCCTCCAAAGACTTCTGGAAATTAGACTGACATTGCCACAGGAAAGGAACAATTCCTGTCCTCTTAGTTTGTTAATATAATGCACCTCCACCACCACTGCACTCCTTTACGAATGAAGTACTGGGCAGAGTTCTCTACATAAGTCTTTTTTAAAAAATAATTACTCATTAATAGCATAGCTTTCAAGAGGTTGTGGGCGGGGAGGAGGTCTGGCTTTAGGAGCTGAACTGAAACCCTGAATCAAATTCTGTAGATCATCCTCAAAACACGAACTTATTTGTGATCCTCTTTGTTTGTTTCCATTATTTTCAGTTGTAAGTATTCTATTCTGATTTGATAAGAAATATTTCCAGTACTTAAGCATCAAAGTGAACTACTATAATGGCATCATCTTAGAGGCTAAGAAGTAAAATCAAGGTTAAGATATAAAGTCCTAGCTTTTTAATCATACCTTTGATGTTTCAAATTCAAAGAATAAAGAATCACACAAGCAGAATCACACAAGCCAACAAAGGGTCAAGGCATACTGTTGAAAGAAGCAAAGTCAAAGTTCTTTCCCCCTTGAGAATCAGTACATCAGGTTAGCTAATGTTTCATGCCAATGGACAAAAGAGGCCTTGAAACATGTCCACAGCTGAGTGCAGTTCAATGATAAAGCTAGGCTAGCGCAAATGGATTTGGGCTTTGTTTAGATGCCATGTGCTTCCTTGACAGTGGCAATGATTTTGTGCACCTTTAGACCCCTTAGTTGATTAGGCACAGAATAATCGCTGAATTGTTTGGAACCCACGTTCCTCCAGCGTTATCCAGATCACAGAAACCCAGAGTGGAAAATGGTTCTCTCGCTGGGCTTGATGCCTAAATCTTAGTTACAGCCCAATTTCTTTTCATAGATACCCATCTGTGGCTTTTCCTTTCATAAATTTGTCCAGGGCCTTATGGAGACATTTTTATTTTCTATCTGTACTACATGGAAAGACAGAGTGGTCTCAGCTTTATTAGTTTCTAGGAAATGCAGCATTTTAGTATGAGTGGTTACATTTATATTGGAGATCATGGAGATGAATGGGGAAACGGATACACAACTAACCACCTGTCATGCCACGGTAGCGTCATGAACAATTCATTTGTTGAGGGAACATACAAAGGGGAAGTATGCTCTATATTCTGGGAGGATGCAGAAAGGAATAGGGAATGACTTCACAGAGTAGGTGAACTTTGAAGGAAACATTAAAGGATGAGAAATTTATCCAAGTAGAGGTGTGGGGAAGGTGAATTCCAAACAGAGGGAAAATAAGAACAAAGAAACAGAAGCATAACGATATATATTAAAGGAAATATGAAGTGAATGATGAGATTAGAATACCAGGAGCAAGTGAGCAGCTGAGGATCATGAGAGATTTTTTCATTTAGGATTGGTGTGGCCTAATCATGGTCTGATTGACAGCATGATGGACAGACTGGGGAGATCAAGGCTAAATGGAGAGATACCACTTAGGCCGAAGTAAAGGTTCAGGAAAGTAAAGGTGAGAACCTGAAAGAGCAAGAGAGGTAAGATCACATGGGAGCTAACATAGAAGTAAAATGATGGGTCCTGATGAATGATGATGTCAGACACTCAGCCTCTGTGGCTATGTGTGTTCTTATAATGTAGGCAAGAAAAAGCTTCAGAGTGACATGCTGGAAGCTTAGCTGCCCATTTTCCTGGGTGAAAAGAATTGAGGTGCCAGTTTCAAGTGAAGAGACAGGATTTGCGATTACTCCTATACCTACACCTTTACCTACTACTACTACTGTCATTAGTAGCTGGAAAATCCAGTGGGAGAAAGAGGAAAGCTATGAAGGCCAGATTTCATTTCTGCGCTTCATTCAGAGGGTTTGTTTTTGTTTTTCTGTTTTGTTGTTATTTTTGTTTAATTAAAAAGAAAGGTGAACTAAAAAGAAAAGCATTCATCCTGAAAGTAAATATAATACTGAAGACCTGAGCAAAACCAGGTCTTGAGTTTTTCTGGGAATTACGGAGATGGGTAGAGAAATAGATACTATAAGCAGTCACCCACCATTCATATTAAAGTCAGGGCCAAAGAGCTGTGACAAGGAAGTTGGGTAAAGTGTAGATTTTTCTTTTGCCTTGAAATTGTCTGGAATACCGGCCATTTGATCTGGCCTCATATAAGCCTTTGCCCAGAAACTGAGGAAGGTGGCCATAGTAGGGAAACTAAAAGCTTCATGCTTTTCCTTCAGGTAAGGAGAGAATAACCCTCTCTGCAAGGAGCTGACAGTAAAATAGCCCTGCCATTCTCAGCACGGCACTCACTCCGAGAGTGAAGAACAGGGATGAGTCAGCCTGTGCCTGGGGCCAGGGTAGATCTTAGACTTCTAGAATCCTGCAGTCTACTCATAAAAATGCTTTGCTTTGCTTTGCTTTGCTCTGCTCTGCTCTCACAACTTAACCAGCACCATTATCAATACCTTCCTGTCTAGGGTGTTCTTGATGGCAGGAGTTGGCTGTGCAAGCCCTAAGGTTGTGTCTCCCTTTCTTTTTTTTCCCCACTTTTGTTCATTTTTATTTATCAGTTAGTAATAACAAATACTTTCCTGTATGTGTGGAATTCTTGTTCTTAGAAATATTTAGTAGTAGAGAATCCATAGGGAAAAATGTGAGTTGTTACACTATATGTGTCTTGTTATAATATCTTCCTGGTATAGTTGATTTAAAATATTGTATTAGTTTTAGTTATACAATAGTGATTCAATATTTTATACATTATATGCCATTTAAAGTTATTATAAAATAATGGCTGTATTTTCCTGTGCTGTAAAATACATCCTTGTTGCTTATTTATTTTATACATAGTAATTTGGATCTCTTAATCCCCTGTCCCTATGTTACACAACCCCGCCTTCCCTCTCCTCACTGGTAACTACTAGTTTGTTGTCTACATCTGTGAGTCTGTTTTGGTTTTGTTATACTCATTTGTTTTATTT